TATATGAAAGCTATATCTATCTATTTGTTTCTTTAAATATTAATATTTTTAATATTTTACTATTTTTTAAAATATTTCAATATTTCTTTTTATATTTATATATTGTAACTGTTTATTTTTATAAATATAATAAAATATACAAATTATTTACATTTTCATTTCAAATGAATGATACTAATTTTTAAGTTATAATATACAATTATTTAAAATATACATTTATATGTTGTACCGGTAATTAATATTTATTTTATATGAATGTAATAAAATATAATAACATTATTTACATTTTACTTTTTAATTTTAAATCAATTTTAATTATATAAATAAGAAATCAATATAGAAAATGGCATTATTATCTATTTGATTATACAAAATATTTTTCTGACTTTATTTTGCATTTAGTTTGAGAAGTCTTCTCGTCTGTCTCGTGAGGCTGAAGACAGATTAAGGGCCATTCCCAAGTTTTGTTTTCCTGACTGTCATGACTGGCGTCCCTCCTCGGACCACAACAGGTAATATGCTAATATTAAACAATTTATGTTACTTGGCTAACTAATTCACACTCCTAATATAATCTTCGATTATCGCCCACAGTGAAACATTTTCTTTTGTCCTAACGGGGGAGGACGGGAGTCGCTTGTTTGGATACTGCCGCAAAATCCTGGTGAGTTTTTGTAAACGTAATCTCTTCTGGTCAATTAAAAATGATACTTTTCCCAAACATGCACATTCTGTCACTTTTTTTTCATTGTCATTCCAAGCATCTCATCAGATAAATAAATGATATAGGAGAGCAGCATATGGTGTGCTCTCAGTAGTAAATCTGCACTAACCTTGACCTTTGACCTGTGTCTTGCAGCCCAGTGGGAAGGGGAAGAGACTGCCTGAAGTTCACTGCATCATCAGCAGACTGGGCTGCTTCAATCTCTTCTCAAAGGTCAGGGACATTTCAGAGATCAGATATGAATTTCCTGTTTAATCAGCACTAAACCTGTAAGACAGATGCGGAATTGTAACTGTCTGAAATGTTTGAGAGCAGATCTTGGAGGAGGTGGAGAGGAGGAGAGATATTTCCCCGGCCTTGGTTCATCCTTTCATGCACAGTGTCATGGAAGCCCCCTTTCCCGCTCCTGGACACACCATCACCGTCAAGAGCTTCCTGCCGGGCTCTGGCAATGAGGTAAGATATTGTTTAACTCAGGAAAGATCATGTTTATTCCTTTAGTTTAGACTTTAATTTAGTATTCACTACTACATGTGGGTTATGACTTGTGGGTTATGACTTCATGTTTTGAATTTAGTTTCTCCCATAAAAGCAGATTATAGGTGTTTATTTAAATCTTGACATTATTTATTACTAGTCATAAATGGCAACTTGGATCTTTGTTGTTTTATAATAATTTTTTCACAATTTTTATTTTATTATTTATAATTATTTTACTTCACAAATAAATGGTTGCAACACCAGAGACGACTTATCATAAATTAGTGTTTTTTTAAAGATTGTGTCAGTATCATCTCAAAACACATGCCGCTGATCAGATGAAAATCAATAAGTTATAATATCAAATAATCATTTCAAAGAAAATCTTGAAAGAAAAATCACATGAACATTAAACAATTTTAAAATGAACTTCAACCATACATCAAAACATCATCTTAAATGTAAATAAAAACTTTTTCAACATGGCGGGAACATCATATTCACATTTGAACAGCCTTTTTTCTATGCACTTTGACCTTGGAAGTACTTTTCTACAACTTTCTATATTTTCAGAATTGTTTTTATAGCATAACACCTGTGACAAAAAATCAAGGGACCAGCATTCTTGAATTATTTAATATTATTAATGACTTTTTTTGCACAATTGTTATATCTTGTACATATGCTTAAGCCTGGAAAATAAGATAACTTAAAAATAAATTTATATTTTTGAATAAAATGTAATTATGAATAATTACATTATTAGGGTTATGAACAATAGAGTGTTTTATTTCAAAACAATCCAGTTTTATATGATGCACAAAACCTTTCAGTCTTACTTAAGAATATTCTGGCCTGTAGAAAGAGAATTTTCTCAAATGCTGTCTAATCAACAGAGGAGAGCTCTGAAATTTGATTACGACTACAGAGTTGAATTTAATAACCGCCATGCCTTGAATTGTTTCCATTGTTTACCAGCTTGAAATTCCCCATGCCAGCAATAAAATACTATTTGACAGAAGTGATATATCTTAAAATTAAATGTATTGCCTTCAGAAATCATTCTAATATGCTCAAGAAACATTTCTTATTATTATCAATGTCGAAAATAGTTGTGCTGCTTAATATTTTTGTGGAAGCCGAGATACAATTTCAGGATTCTTTGATGAATAGAAAGTTAAAAAAAAATTATTTGAAATAGAAATCTTTTGAAACATGTATTAACTGTCAATTTTGATCGATTTAAACTAGGGCTGCCAAATCGATTAATCGTGGTTCGTTGCATCCAAAATAAAAGTGTGTGTTTACGTAATGTGTGTGTACTGCGTATATTTATATATAAATACACACACCTAATTTAATTGTGATTAATCGAATTTGACAGCCCTAATTTTCAATGCATCCTTGCCAAATAAATACTCAATTCTAACCTTTGTACAATAGTCTACATCAGACTACTAACTGCTGAATATCTAATTGCTGACAAATCATTTTGTGAAATGTTAGCATGGGCCCATCTGGTCTTTGTATCAAAATGTCTGTTTCTTTCCTGAATTTGCTTCTATATTCATCTTTCTCTATATACTCTCTGTTGTCCTAGCTTGGAGACGAGGACTGTATCTTACCTAGAAAGCTGCAGGCAGCGCTTCAGGAGATACTGGAGAACAGGGAGGAGATCCTAGAACAAAACACGAGAGACAGGAAAGGAGGTTAGAGTCCTCACACGTGCCGTTATTCACAGCCGAACCCACAGCATCTGACTCAGTTCAGTTTTAAACTGGTTTAACTGAAGGTTCAGTCCATTGTCTTATTGTGTCAGAATGAGCTGTTCACCTTTTAAAACCCTACTGTCTGTGTGTTCATGATGTGATGAGTAACCAACCGTTAAACAAGGCCAGTGAGGTCAGGATCATGCCGACTAGTATGATTTCAGGTGTTACAGATGTTTCGTTAAGCCGGCCCAACGGCAAATAGTCATTATGGTAGTTATACTAAATATTAAAGGAATAATGGTTTGACAAGCACCGTTTCCTTGTGTTGACATTTCCTATTAAAACAGGAAGTTTTAGGCCTGTATTTATCAAATAGCAAATACTTTTAAGCCCTATTCGGATGGTAATTGTTTCTCATGTGGATGTCTGTAAAAATAAATTGTGACCTTGGACCACAAAACCAGTCATAAGGGTCAATTTTTCGAAATGTAAATTTATACATCATCTGAAAGCTGAATAAATAAGATTTCCATTGACAATATTTAGCCGAGATACAACTATTGACAGATGAACAGATGAAAATCTGGAATCTGAGGGTGCAAAAAAAATCAAAATATTGAGAAAAATGCCTTTAAAGTTGTCCAAATGAAGTTCTTAGCAATGCATATTACTAATCAAAATTGAAGTTTTGATATATTTACAGTAGGAAATTTACAAAATATCTTTATGGAACATGATCTTTACTTAATATCCTAATGATTTTTGGCATAAAAGAAAAACCAATCATTTTTACCCATACAATGTATTGTTGGATATTGCTACAAATATCCCCCAGCGACTTAAGACTGGTTTTGTGGTCCAGGGTCACAATTTACATGGCACCTCGGTGATAAAACTCATGAATACGGATGACGATTTATTCACAGTGGAGGAGCGAGTTCTGTGATCCTAACGCGCTACTCACGTGGCCAGTCACATGATAGTCTGCTGTAAATAAAATGCATTTTATTTACAAATTTATTCTTATTATTGTGGAAAATTTATTAAAAATACTTATGATAAAATGTATTCTTATTATTCCAAGCATATTTATAATATATATAATCCTATTTATTATTTGATTATTTAAATGTCCTGTTTAAAAATAGGAAAATAGACGCTCTATAGTAGTATAGAATTATAAGCGATAGTGTTATGTATATAACTGTATATAATACACATTTTAAAATTGTTTTGCATACCTACAGCTGCCTTAATAAAGACCCATTTTGAAGGTTCACATGCTTTTCTTCAATGGTTTGATGAGCAAAACAGCTGATAAAAACATCTCAATAATCCACAAGTAATCCACACACCCAGTCCATCAATTAACATCTTGTGAAGTGAAAAGAAGAAACAAATCCATCAAGGCGTTTTTAAACCTTCATTTCTAGCCCAAATACCAGTCCATATCCATCCTCCAATGCTTCCTCCAGTGGAAAAAGTCCATCCCTCTTATATCAAAATCCACTGTTTTTGCTTTAAAACAGTGCTTGTTCTGTGCATTTTTCTCTCCTCGTTCAGATGAGATGACTTTTTCAAAGTAAAAAGCAATATTATGGATAGAGGTCTCTTATTTTAGCATGAAGAAGTGGTAAGACGTTAAAAATGTCTTAATGTTGTATTTATTTCTTACAAACATTCACCTTTTCACTTTATAAGATGTTAATTGATGGACTGGAGTGGTGTGGATTATTGTGATGTTTTTATCAGCTGTTTGGACTCTCATTCTGACGGCACCCATTCACTGCATCCATTGGGTGAGCAAGTGATGATACATTTCCCTAAATCTGTTCCAATGAAGAAACAAACTCATCTACATCTTGTATAGACCGAGGCATTTTCAGCAAATGTTAATTTTTGTGTGAACTATTCCTTATTTCTCACATTAGCATATAAACCACAAAAGTCTTATTTTATGGGCTTTTTAAGCTTCCATGTAGTTTGTTGTTGTTGTTTTTTTATATATACTATGCAGTATCAATGTGTCACACTGTGGTTTCATTCTCCTAACAGATAAATCAGACCTGAGCACTTTGGTGTCAGAGGCGTTTGTGTGGTTCTTTGTTGAGCTGGTGGGACATTATTCTCTGTACATGAGCGACACCGGACCCGGTGGCACCCGAGAGCTGCAGAGAGACGCTTTCAGGAAATCTCATCCGTCCCGAGGAGTGCGACAGTTTCTCCAGCTCTTCATGGACACGCAGATGTTTGCTGGTTTCATTCATGACCGAGAGCTCAGAAAAGGAGGTGTTAAAGGTGAGAGAAGAAATATTCTGGGTTATTGAAGTTGTTATTTTTAAGGTGAACCATTCCTTTAAGTAATGAGAGGAATGTTTTGTTTAACAGGGCTGTTTGAAATGAGAGCAGCAGAATATTTGGATTCTTATCCTGAACCTGAACCAAGTGGAGTCAACAAATTTCTTAAGGGGCTCGGTAAATCTTTTGCTTCTTTTCCATTTGTCTGAAATAAAAAGATAAAAATGCCGAAGCAGTTATTTCCATTGTTTTATTCACAAATATTTTGGTTTGCAGGAAATAAAATGAAATTCTTGCAGAAGAAATAGAGAACTGTTTCAGACGCCAAGTATGAACGGCTTTTTTTCAAAAATGTGTGATGACTCAACCAGCATGACAGTTCCTCTCCCGTAGCCAATGCTGAAGGGTGGAGATGAGTTCAAGACTGGAATCAGCTTGTTCTGCCCTGAAAATTCTCCCGTCACGAAAGAGGAAAAGGCTGGAAATTAGTTCATAAGCACAAGGAACAAAGAGGACTGAATTAGAACAAAGAGGAAAGGGAGGAGTCTGTGTCATGTCATTGTAATTTTGATAAATAAGGAAAAATCTGACTATGAATGCATAATAACAAGAGTTGGGTAAACGGCCATGTCAGAGGTCTTGCATGTTTTTATTGTCTTAATGTAATTTTTATTAAGCTAGACAATAAGGTAAGCTTATGTTTTAACCGAAAACCTTTTCCAACTGGACATTTTTTTGTTTAAAGGAAAATATGATGAAGGATGACTTCTATTCCCCTTCAGGAATTAATTTATGATTCTTCCTATGCACGGAAATGGTCTTTCCAGTTAAATGTCAAGCATTTATTTTTAGCCAAATTTTCTGTTTTGTGAACTATCGTTGCAAATGTTTCAGTTTTACATTTTGTACAGTTTCGTTTTTAGGCAAACTAGATTTTTTTTGTAACATTTGAAAATAAAAAAACATGTTTCTGAAGCAATGTTGGACAGGAAGTGGGAATCAAACAATGTGATCTTGTAGAAATTGAAAATTTGGATGAGTGTTCAGTGATTGAGAATGTACAGGGTGCATGGGTTTAAAATATGAGAAACGTATAATGAAAGTGGAGTGTACAGTATTATTAAAAAACAGCACTTACAGCAGTAATGTGGATTTGGTGGCTACTTGAAAGAAGCTAAATAGCTTTTTTTGACATGTTACATAAGTCCATTTGTGTATTTTCATACTTTTGACGACTACTATTATTCCTAAAACATGTAAAGTAGTAATAACAGTGAGCCACTGTTGCTGTGTAATAAAATCAGCCCAAAGGCTAATTAAAACTGGGCTATAATAACAATCCCCTTTGACCCTACCCAAATATTAAAACTCAACATATGCCACTCCCATACCTAAAACACATGATTTACAGGCATGACTATGCTTTATACACAAATTAATACTTGAAAATAACTGGTAGGCCTACTCATAAGGGCCTTCCCTCACAAAACTAATAATCTAGCACAGTTTTATCATTAGCAGAATGTAAAATATTTCAATACACACATTTCAGTCAATTTCAATTTATGCAATATGTAAAACATTTAAAAACAACACGCGGCAACAGTTTACAAGCAGCCAGATTCCGCGGGAAAAACGCGCGCGTCTCCTCCGATACACAAGGGGGCGCTGATGTTCGTATTTCATTCAATTCAATCATAATAGAAGCAGAGCGTGAAGCGTGTATTTGTAAAAGATGGCAGGACCGGCTTCAGTCGCTGGTGATGTTTTTGTCGATGCTCTGCCTTATTTCGATCAGGGTTATGATGCTCCAGGGGTCAGAGAAGCCGTAAGTAGACTGAATATGTCTTTTTGAACGTTCTGTCTTATTAAAACGACGATAAATAATACGTGTTTGACCTGTGTTGTCACTATGCAGACAGCTAACGGCTGCGCCTACTTCTGGTTCTTAAATGAGACAGTTTAGTTGTTTAATCGCATTATGCTTTTTGTTTTAAGTACGCTATAGTATTACAGTTATCTTTATTAGCGGAAAAGAAATTATATTCGAATCGTTTTGAATCAATTTTAGGCAGCTGCTTTGGTGGAGGAAGAGACGAGACGATACAGACCAACCAAGAACTATTTGAGTTACCTTCCCACACCAGATTTCTCTGCTTTTGAGGTACAAGAAAAATACCCGTTCTGCTACTACTTTACTATAATCCACATGTTCACATAATAATCTTAGTGTTATGTTGTTCTCATTAGACCGAGATCATGAGGAATGAATTTGAGAGACTGTCAGCTCGTCAACCCATGGATCTGCTCAGTATGAAGAGGTAAGTTTATTGAGCAAAACTTCTGTTACAGGTGGTCAACTCTAATCTTGTGTTCTGCTTAATGTAACCTATTCTAAATTGCAATAAATCTATTGTTTGTTTATTTGGATCCATATTAGCTTCCACAAAGTGGCTGCTAATCTTCATGGGGTCCACATATCTGTACAAAACAAAATTCATACAAATAAGTAAAAAGAACCCAAATACAATTACAGCAATCACATCACAAAAGTATACCTTTAGCAGTAGCAGCACATAAACATATTTATATAAACATATCTTCACATTTTCTTCGAAACACATATGTGCAGTTACTCTTTTGTATATTTATGGGAACCATATTCCAAGCACCAGAGCCTTGATAAACAGTCTTTTTCATCAAATTTGTTTGTGGACATAGTAAAAAAAAAAAATAGATAAAATGTAGATAAAACGAATGCCTGCACCTCATCTTTTAAAACTAAAGATGGAATAAATGCAGAACATTTCCTATCTACAGATGTCTCTGGGAGGAAAGGCTGCACTAATATTAATAGCTTGTAGCAGCCTATTTCCCAGTGAAGTATGACACTAGCATAATCCTATCCACCTTATTTATATTTTGCAACGCAGAAGTAAGCTATTTTCTGTGAATATGCAAAATGCAGCAAATCAGTGTTTAGGATTATGATGATAAAATAAAATATAATAACAAATACCAGTTTTCAGTACAGCTAAAATAACTGGAAGTGAATGGATAAGATATGTTTCAATAATCAAACTAGCTTCACTGTTGATTACATACAATGTACAGATTTACTTTTACACATCCATTTATCCAAAGAGACTTATTTTGCATTCAAGGTACATGTTTTGATCAGTTCTTGGTTTCTCTGAGAATCAAACTTATGATCTTGGCATTGCTAGTGCCATGCTCTACCGTTTGAGCTACAGGAAGGCCTAAATTAGTTGGTCTGAGCTAGTTTCGAGTCTACATCCTTATTTAAAAAAAGTGAGTTGTTTGCTATTAAATCTACCTTCTTGTGCTTGTCTTCTTAGATATGAGCTTCCTGCTCCAACGTCTGGGCAGAAGAATGACATCACAGCATGGCAGGACTGTGTCAATAACTCTATGGCCCAGCTGGAGCATCAGGCAGTGCGCATTGAAAACCTCGAGCTCATGGCTCAGTATGGATCTAATGCATGGAAGGTGTCTAATGAGTAAGTGAACAGACCATTCAAGATCGGAATCTTTCTCAAGAAACTTGTAAATGTAAAGAAATAGTTCACCAAAAAATGAAAGTGTACTCACCCTCAGGCCATCCAAAATGTAGATGAGTTTTTCTTCATCGGAACAGATTTGAGAAATGTAGCATTGCATCACTTGCTCACCAATGCAGTGAATGGGTGCCGTCAGAATAAGAGTCCAAACAGCTGATAAAAACATCACAATAATCCACATGACTCCAGTCCATCAGTTAACCTCTTGAAGTGAAAAGCTGGGTATTTTTAATAAATCCATCATTAAGGCGTTTTAACATTAAACAGCTTGTAAACTGTGCTTGATCTGTCCATATTACTTTACCAATTCAGATGAGGTGACTTTTTCACTGAAGAAAGCAATATTATGGATAAAGGTGGTGCTGTCAAACGATTAAACGTGATTAATCACATCCAAAATAAAAGTTTTTGTTTACAAAATATATGTGTGTGTACAGTGTGTATTTATTATGTGTATATATAAATACATACAGTATATATTTTGGAAATATTTGCATGTGTTTACATGTATACATTTATATTCGTATAATTTATATTATATAAATGTATAAAATATAAACCTATATTTTTCTTAAATATGTACATGGGTGTGTGTGTGTGTGTATTGGGGGCGTGTTCGAACGAGCCGTTTTAGGTAGGTGTGGCTAACTCTTTTTATTTATAAAGAATATCTCTTTGGATTTGAGACTTTAGTCTTTGCAACTTTACAGATCTTCTTTATGCACCAAGAGCTTGTAACACTCCAAAGAGAAAGGAAAAATTGAAATCGCATCATATGACTTTAATGATGGATTTGTTTCTTACAAAGATGCTGCTTTTCGCTTCACAAGATGTTAACTGATGGACTGGAGTTGTGTGGATTACTTGTGGATTATTGTGATGTTTTTATCAGCTGTTCGGTCTCCCATTCTGACGGCACCCATTCACTGTAGAGGATCCATTGGTGAGCAAGTGATATAATGCTACATTTCTCCAAATCTGTTCACACAAAGAAACAAACTCATTTACATCTTGGCTGGCCAGAGGATGAGTAGATTTTCAGCAAATGTTCATTTTTGGGTGTACTATTCCTTAGTTTAATATAGGACCTACTTTGTATTACATTATTAAAGGGGTTAAAGGGGTCATATGATGCTGCTAAAAAGAACATTATTTTGTCGAAGCGGATATCGTCCTCTTTTGGAAGACCAAACAAAGTAGTTTCGCTTTCACAATGAAGCACACAGCGTCTTCAGGACATGGCTGCAGCGTCAACAATACTACAGCGAGAATAAAAGTTACGCTTTCTTTCTTTGCGTGAACATTTGGGGGCTTTATGCAAATCTTCCCACATAGTGAGGTAGGTATGTGGGGGCGTGTTCGAACGAGCCGTTTTAGGTAGGTGTGGCTAACTCTTAACTTTTATAAAGAATATCTCTTTGGATTTGAGACTTTAGTCTTTGCAACTTTACAGATCTTCTTTATGCACCAAGAGCTTGTAACACTCTAAAGAGAAAGGAAAAAATGAAATCGCATCATATGACCCCTTTAAAGTCAGTTTTGAAAATGGTGAACGCTATTTGCGGGGTCATGACTAAAAAGCTTACAGGATTAAAATGCTATTTAATTCCTTAATGACGCAATATAAATAGAAAATATAAACAATTGTGAGTTCTATTTGTGGATGTTATGTTGATCATAATTGGTTGTCTTCTCTGTGAAACAGTAACTTGGCCTTAATGATTGAAAATGCACAAAAGGAACTGCAGAAGGCTAGGTGAGTGACTTGTTGGTCAATGTAATTTACTTTACATATGGGTGTTGAATATTGTGGTTGTGCACAAACTAACTAGCTTTTAAAATTAATCTTAATATTTCTATTCTCCTTTCAGAAAGCAGATACAGGATCTGAACTGGCAGCGCAAAAACGATCAGCTGGCTGGAGGAGCCAAACTACGAGAACTTGAGTCAAAGTCAGTACTTTATTATGTTTCTATATGAAAACCATTTCCAGAAATTGTCTCAAGTTAAATTCAATTAGTTTACTCCGCTCTGATGGAAGCGTTTCTGCTTATGTTTTCACAGCTGGGTGTCTCTCGTTAGTAAGAACTATGAG